CATCGCAGTTGAGACACATCTGCTTCCTTAGTGACTCACACGGGAAGGTTGCCCCCATTTCGTTCAAGTCGTACAAGTCGAAACGTGTCACTCGCTCTGTAATGGCAGGCGAAGTCAGTGCTTTTAGTGACTTATTCGACGTCGCCATTACCCTTGCCGCAGAACTCAAAGCGCATCTCCGGCGACCGGTGCCCGTTCAACTCTTTACCGATAGCAAGAGTCTTGTTGATGTAATCTCAAAGGGATCAAGGACATCGGAGAAGCGAATGATGTTGGACATCGCAGCTGCAAGAGAGGGCTTCAGAGACAAGGTTATATCGGACATCGGTTTTGTCCGTAGCTCAGACAACGTTGCAGATGGGCTCACCAAGGCAATGTCGCAAGCCGTTTTGCGTGACGTACTTTCCACCGGAGAACTTAATGTTAGAGCAGAGCAATGGATCGTTCGGAACTAGGACAGCGCTTTGCTTAATGATCACAATTTCTCGCACCTCTGCTACGCGAATATTGTTTGCCCTATCACCACCGCACAGCCTTAAGGAATGACCGGTTAGAAGAATTGAACGCTTTTCCACGCTACCGAGGATACGTCGACGATTCGTATCCATCGTGATGCAATGGTCCACTATGCCGGGCTGGCAAAGGCGGACTATCCAGACCCCCTTCCTTAAGCTGCCAAGAATGTCGAAGGCTTTCCCAGACTTGCCCGCGTTAATACTCGCATGCATCACCTTGTTTTGGCTTCAAAACGTTGATATTCTCAATTTGGTGCACCACAAGTCCAAGTGGTTTCAGATTTTGGTAGTGCGTCCCATCTTGTTCCAAGATATTTACTGCACTTGATGCAGCATCGCCACCAGTCAGACAGAAAATCGCATTCAAAAGTGATGCACGGACGCAGAAGCCGTCATTTGAGCGCATGAAAACTGCGCCTTGTTCGGCTGTCAAGTACTTCTGCAACGCAACGCCTTGCTCTCACCACGCGAGCCAGGACCTCCAAGAAGAACTGCAACAACTGGATTGCGCACAAAATACGACCGAATCGCCTGTTCGACAACGTCCTTGCGTCGAACTGAGGTATGATTTCTCGTCCGAGTTTGTTCCGGAACCAGGCACAAGGGGCTCGCGGCATATCATTGGAAACCCCGCGCGCGGTAAGCTCAACTCGAGCCCCGCCGTGCTTGCTCACGTCGAGACTTTAGAAGTCAATGGGGTGGAAGTTCTCGTGCCTGCCCGTGGCCTTCGCAGACTCGTTGAACTGCCCACGCTTCAGTTCGCGACTTCGCTTGTCCTTTGAGCCGTCGCCAAACACAACGGCTTCGATTGCCCATTCGCTACTCTCAATTATTGGCCCCTTGCACCCCTCTTCTCGAGCCTCTTGCCGTGACGATGATTAGGCATAGTTGGAAGTGAGCCACCAACGAGAGTCGATGAGGACATCAAGGAGGAGCGCGAACTTGAGGCCTGCGAAATAGTCGTGGACGCACCGCTTGCCCCACTTATGTCGCTGTGCGCGGACGCGCAATCGTGAGAGTCAACCTGCATATTGAGTGAGAGAATGAGCGCCGCGGACAATGTGAACTGGTACACAAACAGGTGAGTGAAAACAAGAGAAGGAGGATGGATACGCTGAGGAGGAGTGGCAGGGCAGGCTTGAGCGAAAGAAAAGTGCGACACCGCCAGATGAGAAACCCTCAAACGTCGCCGTTTATGTGGCAGCAACTCGCCCAGATGGAGGGTGTGTCGCTTGTAACCGTCGCCGTGGCCGACGCCGGTGAGATCCAATGTTACTAATTACATTTGGGCTCCACGTGGCAAGCAGTAGGTGCTTGACAGTGGTTTGAAGCCCCATATATTGCGTCGGCGGCAGAGAGCAGATGGAGGCGGAGGCAACGGGAATTATACAAGTAATCATGACCCCTGCGCTGTTGTTGCCTCGTGACACATCATTTTATTCAGGAGAAGTAAATTGAATAACTTGAACTATTGTGGTATCGAGGGTCGAATATTCTACGTGTTAAGCCCCTAATGGGCCTAACACACCAACAGAGCGGATAATGGCTGCCAGCGCAGCCGCAAGGGAAGGGAAGGGAGGGTAGAGAAGCGGATGACTGGCTCTTCCGGTTCGCCTGCCTGCGCGCCGACGGAATGTACTGTATAGTACTGCAGCCACGCCGTCCTCTTGGCCACGTGTACAGCGTGCACTCGTGTCCAAGAGCAGGCGCGCAGGCATCGCGCGGCGTAGGTCATTACATGGTGATCCGTGGATACCTGACCGTAAACAAGCTAAGAGGTTCAGCTTGCTTAAGCTGAGGCGCAACGCCAAAGCGATTCCCCTCCCCGTCTACAACCCCTTTCCTCCTTTCTCTAGGCGCCGTCCAAGCCACTCGCCGGATCGAACCAGCGAGCGCGACGCCGCGCGCTTTCGGACATCTCTCACGACAATCAGAACCTCATTTTTGTCTATAAGCGGGGGCCCCAATGCATAGCTTGCAGAGAGCCACATTGCAAACAACTTTTCAACCATAATGGTATCTCCCACTCAAGAACCACTCTCTCGTCTCAATCCCTCCCCACGTCCTCGCACGCCGCTCACCCTTACTGAAAAATTGAGGCAGGGCGCCTGCTCAATATCGGATACACACGACTCATACTAATAAAGGCCTTTAACGATGGTTTCGGATGCTTGTGATGTCTGTAAATGATTGTGTTACGCGCTTTCTGTAGAGCGCCACTCACGCAATAGTGCCATATGTCGAGGTCTGTCATGGGCTAGCACTATAGCGTGGGACCCCCTGTATGCACTAGTTGGGGGCCGATTTAAAAGTGGCATCGAGCGTGCGGTGTGCCCCCTCGCAACAAGAGGCAGGACAAGTTTACACCTTGCCCACCAGGGACGTATTTGTCTATGCACACAACCCTCAGGCATCTTATGCCCCGCCCCACACTATCCCCTCTTCCTCCCAACAACAACTAGCGATTAGATACAGCTGTGTTAAGTGTATTGCTGCTACAGTAAGCGTAGATGAGTCTCGACCTGAGTCAATGTATCTCGGGGTTCCGTAAGAGCGAGGAATGGCACTTTTGCGTCATGGCGTATCCCAAGCCGTCTAAGCAGTGTGTGCGTGAGATGCGTAACGAGGGCGGCACCCTTCAGATTGCGCGATAACGTGCTTATCTTCACTAAGACCTTGTTTGTTCATCGGCGCGAGGAACACTGCAAAAGGCATCAGCAACACTGCGGCAGCGCGAGGAAGCTGTGTGCAAGCAACTCTGGCGCTTTATCAAAGCGGCATGGACGCGGCGACACGGTCCGCGCGGCAGCACGCGTGCCTTTAGCCGTGCTGCTCCGGCCACGGCGGCGTATGGGTGGCAGTCTACGGCCCAGGTCAGGGGCGAGTTGGTATCACATGCACGCATCAGCGACGGAACGCCGCCACCCGCGCGCACGCAGCCGCCGCCGCGCGTCG